GGGAGGCTGTGTGTTTGGACGGGGCCAGCTCCAGGAGCGCACGCACCGTCCCAGCCACCAGGGGGAGCCCTCTCTCCTCCAGGATGTGGAGGGGCAGGCACAGCTGGGTCTGAGGCCAGATGAAGAGCACATGCATACAAAAAACACACACACAAGACAAAGGGAGGAGGGAAAACGGGAGAGGGGAGAACAAAAAAGGGGATGTCAATGGATGGCTAAATAATAATAACAACAACCACCAAAAGATAACAGACATCAACACAAATGGAAAGACATCAAACTCAACATAAGATGGAAAAGGAGGTGAATGGGATCCAAAGGCCTGACCTTGAGGAGGGCAGGTGTGCAAACAAAGGCAATAAGTAGGGACTTGTGCACTGAGACACCCACTGAACATAACCCACAGGAGCAAATATAGGAGGGGGGGGGGGGGGGGGGGGGGGGGGGGTAAGCGAGTAAGCGAGAGAGAGAGAGAGAGAACATGTGTTAACAAGCTGAAGTAGCGAGGAGAGAGGAAAGACTGAAGGAAGTCACACCAAATATTTGGTTCATTTTATTGTTTAAGGAGCTCTGGGAAAGAGTTGAAAGGTCAACAACAGAAGACACAGAAGAGATAGGCACATGGTTACACACACACTGTAAGCAAACAGACCACCGACACAGAGAACATACACACCGCTCTTCGGAGCCGGAAGAGACATTACTCCTTGTCATTCAGCATAGACCAACAACAGACTCCACACAGGCTCTGTCCTGAATGGCACCCTATTCCGTATTGAGTGCACTACTTTTAACCAGGGTCCCATCGGGCACTATAAGGAACAGGGTCCCATTTGGAACAAAGCCACACTCGCTCTCTCTTTCACACTAAAGATGTGCTTTGTCTTCATATAGAACAGTATAAGAGCACTGCAATATACAGCGCCTTCAGAAAGTATTCACACGCCTTGACTTTTTACACATTTTGTTGTGTTACAGCCTGAATGTAAAATAGATTACATTATTAGAATTTTTTCACTGGCATACACACAATACCCCATAATGTCAAAGGGGAATTATGTTTTTCAAAATTTTTACAAATTAATACAAATGAAATGCTGAAATGAATAAGTAGTATTCAACCCCTTTGTTATGGCAAGCCTAAATAAGCTATTTACATGTTCCTCCAAAGATGTTCGATTGGGTTCAAGTCCGTGCTCTGGCTGGGCCACTCAAGGACATTCAGAGACTTGTCCCTTCCCCAGATCTGTGCCTTGACACAATCCTGTCTCGGAGCTCTACGGACAATTCCTTCGACCTCATGGCTTGGTTTTTGCTCTGACATGCACTGTCAACTGTGGGACCTTGTATAGGCAGGTGTGTGCCTTTCCAAATCATGTCCAATCAATTGAATTTACCACAGGTCGACTCCAATCAAGTTGTAGAAACATCTAAAGGATGAACAATGGAAACAGGATGGACCTGAGCTCAATTTCGAGTCTCATAGCAAAGGTTCTGAATACTTATGTAAATAAGGTGTTTCTGGTAAAAACCTGTTTTCGCGTTGTCATTATGGGGTATTGTGTGTAGATTGATGAGGGAAAAAATAAATGTAATCCTTTTTAGAATAAGGCTGTAACGTAACAAAATGTGGAAAAAGTCAAGAGGTCTGAATACTTTCCGAATGCACTGTATTAGGGTTTTATTTTTCACAGCTTGTGCCTACCTAGACTTGTCCCAGATCTGTTTGTGCCATCTTACCGCACAAACAGATCTGGGACCAGCCTAGTGCTAACCCCGTTCATCACACACCACAGAGAAACAAAATGGGTGGAGTGAAGTTGCCCCGAGACATTGATCTTGGATCAGTTTAGCATTTTCCCTACTAATAGTTAAAGACGAACTGAAACATTTTAGTAAGTTAAAGGTGATTTTGATAACCAAATGTGATAAAGAAGCAAGTTCATACCCTTAAAACAGCTATAAAAAAAAAAACGTTAGAAAATTGCCTCATTGACTACTGTGTGCCGCCATCTTGATAACGTGTCATCAATGACATCACTTGAATGGTTCGTCTGACAGGCAGGCCAGATTACAATGCATGTTAGTAGCCTTTTTAGAAGGCTAGCCGGTTGGAGATTAGCAAGGTAACATGGCATAAACAATAAATTGTATTTGAGAGTATGGCTAGACGGTAAGCTGTCCTTCTCTCAGCACATATCAAAGCTGCAGGCGAAGGTCAAATCTAGACTTGGTTTCCTCTATCGTAATTGCTCCTCTTTTTTACCCCAGCTGCCAAACTAACCCTGATTCAGATGACCATCCTACCCATGCTAGATTACGGAGACGTAATTTATAGATCGGCAGGTAAGGGTGCTCTCGAGCAGATAGATGTTCTTTACCATTCGGCCATCACATTTGCCACCAATGCTCCTAATGGGACACATCACTGCACTCTATACTCCTCTGTGATCTGGCCATCTCTGTATACCCAGCGCAAGACCCACTGGTTGATGCTTAATTATAAAACCCTCTTAGGCCTCACTCCCCCCTATCTGAGATACCTACTGCAACTCTCATCCTCCACATACAACACCCATTCTGCCAGTCACATTCTGTTAAAGGTCCCCAAAGCACACAAATCCCTGGGTCACTCCTTTTTTCAGTTTGCTGCAGCTAGTGACTGGAATGAGCTGCAAAAAACACTCAAACTGGACAGTTTTATCTCCATCTCAAGACTCAATCATGGACACTCTTACTGACACTTCTGGTTGCTTAGCGTGATGTATTGTTGTCTACCATGTTTGTGCTGCTGCCATGTTGTGTTGCTGCCATGTGGTGATGTTGTCATGATGTGTTGCTACTATGTTGTGTAGTTGTCTTAGGTCTCTATGTAGTGTTGTCTCTTTTGTCGTGATGTGTGTTTTGTCCTACATTCAGATTTTTTATCCCCAGTTCTCACAGGAGGCCTTTTGCCTCTTGGTAGGCAGTCGTTGTAAATAAGAATTTGTTCTTAACTGACTTGCCTAGTTAAATAAAGGTTAAATAAAAAATAAACAAATACACTGTGCAGGTTGGGCTATCATAGCTAGCGAGCTAGTCCAAAACCACGCCAAGCTCAGCTATCATTGATTGATATTTTGTTAGTTAGCTAGCTAGTGATTTTTACTATGGATTATTGATTTTACTATGAATATTGGCAGCATCATTTGGTAAGTCTCACAACTAGCTGCAATTGATTTAATAGGAGTGGACATTTAACAACCTACATGACTGTAGTTAACGTTAGCTTGCATTAACTGAATACTAGTTTTTATAGCCAGCTGTTTCTAGCTCAGCTAGCTAGCTAGCTAGCCTCTCCTAGGTTTGGCACATCTGAATTTCCTCAATGCAAACCATATTGAATACTGTTTTATGTATTTTATACACGATCTGCCTACAAAAGTGACTATTATTGTGGGCACAACCATGCGGTTAGCTGAGCTTTTTGCTGTTAGCTAGCTAGCTAACACAGTACGACGCGATGCCCATGTCAAAAATACTGTAATGTTTAACAAAACTAGACCTTGCTCGCTGAATGAACACAAAAACATGTGCAAGTGGGTTTTGGACTGGACTATACAAGCTTATTCAATGCTAGCTAACTGCTTTGTTATTGTGAATATCATTTATTTAGATACATTACTAATGTCGGGAAACAATAAAGCCGAAGCCCCTGCTCATGTGAAAATCACTAATGTAGCCTACATCTGAATGAGCTCAAAAACTTATGCAAGTGGATTTTTGACCGGACTATACAGACTTGTTAACATGATTGTTATTATTTTATTGTCGTTCCATATCAAATTGGTCGTTTTAGCTTTTAGTTTATTCACTTCTTAATCAGTCTTGATCAAAAAGCCATGAGTACAGTAGGCACAGACGCTCTACCATTCCCATGACGTTATTTCAATATGGCTGTGGCCACATCTCCCTAAGCTTGTGCTAGGCGCTCTAAAACATATAATATGTATTAAAAGCATTTTCATAACATTATGTTCAACAACATTACATCATGTCGACGTCAGTTCCACTAAGGTTAGGATTGGGGAAGCTGATCCTAGATCTGTACCTAGGGAAAACATCACCCCGGAGCCACAAAATGAGCGTTAGGACTGAGAGGGGGGCTGGATCACAGACAGTCAAATAGAAAAAGGTGCCTGTAGGATACTTGATTGAGTGTCAGCAAGGACTCAAAGGCTTGCAAATGACCCTCGCCGACCTGCTCTCTTTTTGATTAGGCAAAAACGTCTGACTAACTTTGCAGCTAAGGCTAAGCCGTGTTTGAGTCAGGAGAGAAGAGCTTGGCGTTGATTGGTCAGATTACTCGTGGTTGGTTCTTCCAGGGGCAGTGAGGGAGGAGGAAGCACGTAGGCGACATATGACAAGCACTCCGACTTTGATGTCATCTGTGCAATGGAAGCGCTTTCGGGTGGGAAGGTTCCATCTAAAACACACACATAGCCAGGCGGACGAACTTAAGGCACAGAAGGAGGTTCAGTAGGTAGGTACAGTAGCGGACCGTTCAGTGACACAGACAACACAGCAACCTCCAGAGTCTCGCTGTTTGGGGGCAGTGCCAGTACATGACAGAAGGATAACGAGGGAGCATTGAAGGTGCCCACCTAACCTCACCACTCCTTGAGGCGAAGCAAGTAACCTTCCCCAACAAACAACTGGAACACCAAAAGATAAAACCTACTATATGGTGGATGGCAAACCAGACAATGGCGAGCGCTCCTCTTTGTTAAGGCTGAGCGGGACTGGGAGAGGTCCACTCATTCTTGTGTTTTTCCCTTGTCGAGTTCTGCTGCCTGCTGTGTCTGAATGGATACTGCTGCGGGGTTGGGAGTCGCCGCAATGTGAAATGAGAAGCGCGTAGGAGTGCGAGTTCTGTGTGTGTGAGCACGCAAGTGTGTGCACGAGTGGTAGAGAGCCATTTCTTAAGGTGAGGAAGGGGTTGTGTGGTCCAGACAGACAGTTCAGAGGTGGGGCACCAGGTGGCAGTACAGGGCACACAGCACAGACATGATGGACAGATAGAAGAGGGCGAAGCCTGCCAGCTGGGCCGGGGGAGAAGGCATTAGGAGGGGGGGGGGAGCCATGGAGAGCAGGACCCCCAGCGTCCCGTAAACACAGCTTCCACGGCCATCCAGAACCTCCTCCACAGTGCACAGCCTCTCCTGCCCCACGGGAGATGAAGTGGGGGGGGAGAATGGCGGCGGAGGGGGGTGGGGGCAGGGCAAAGGTTAAAATTACACAGATAGGGGAGTTTTTTGTTTGGACGGACAGATGGAAGATGAGTTTGAAAGGGAAGTGTTATGGTTAAAAGAAAGAGCGGAAAGAGAGAGAAAGTTACTGTTAGTAACAGGCAAGTGGCTCTCCAAGTCAAGTTTACAAAAGCTCTGCAGGTGCCAGTTGTCAGTTGAGTTAGCTGAGTTAGCTGATAAAAAGGGCAGGGACAGAGAACTAGGCTAAACTGTGTTGTTGATACAAAAAGCAGAGTAGTAGAGGGAGTTTGTCTCCCTAATCTGTGCAAAAAATCTTATGATAGAAGAGAAAAACCTGAAAGTAGCCTTTAGGTATTTAACTAATTTGGTTAGATCACCATCTGCTGCTTGCAAATTAATGTAACATCTGAAGAACACAGTCAGTCAGTACAGGTTCTCTTGTATCATATGCTTTTTCTAACCCATCACAAACACACAGATGTTTTAGCACGAAGACTAGTGAGTTGAGCATGCCAGTCCTTTATTGGACTAGTGTGAAGGTCTTACCTGTGGAACCCCGATCCTGCGACACGCCTCCAGAAAGTTCTCCACGTTCCGCCGACACTTGGCCATCGTCAGTTTGGGCTTGATGGACAGAGACAAAACGGGGACAATGATAGTGGCTGTGTCCCAAATGGCAGCCTATTCCCTGTATAGTGCACTACTTTTGAACAGGGCCCATAGGGCTATGGTCACAGTAGTGCACTACTTTTGAGCAGGGCCCATAGGGCTATGGTCACAGCAGTGCACTACTTTTCAACATGGCCCATAGGGCTATGGTCACAGTAGTGCACTACATAGGGAATAGGCTGCCATTTGGGATGAAAGCAGTGTCTGATCATAACCCAAATGCAAATGTTTCGCAAGGTAAAAAAGAGCATTGTTATATTGGTATGCTTGAAGTGTAATGTTCCTGCAGAAAGACACACTGACTAAATTAACTCTGACATCTCACTAATGCACCACACCACATGTATAACGTGTGTAAACACTCACCACACCACATGTATAACGTGTAAACACTCACCACACCACATGTATAACGTGTAAACACTCACCACACCACATGTATAACGTTTGTAAACACTCACCACACCACATGTATAACGTGTAAACACTCACCACACCACATGTATAACGTGTAAACACTCACCACACCACATGTATAACGTTTGTAAACACTCACCACACCACATGTATAACGTGTAAACACTCACCACACCACATGTATAACGTGTGTAAACACTCACCACACCACATGTATAACGTGTAAACACTCACCACACCACATGTATAACGTTGTAAACACTCACCACACCACATGTATAACGTGTAAACACTCACCACACCCACATGTATAACGTGTGTAAACACTCACCACACCACACGTATAACGTGTGTAAACACTCACCACACCACATGTATAACGTTGTAAACACTCACCACACCACACGTATAACGTTGTAAACACTCACCACACCACATGTATAACGTGTGTAAACACTCACACCACATGTATAACGTGTGTAAACACTCACCACACCACATGTTATAACGTGTAAACACTCACCACACCACAGTATAACGTGTGTAAACACTCACCACACCACGTATAACGTGTAAAACCACCAACCACATTAAGGAACACTCACCACTGTATAACGTGTGTAAACACTCACCACACCACAGTATAACGTGTGTAAACACTCACCACACCACGACGTGTAAACCCCTGTTAACGTGTAAACACTCAACCACACCACACGTATAACGTGTGTAAACACTCACCACACCACATGTATAACGTGTGTAAACACTCACCACCACATGTATAACTGTGTAAACACTCACCACACCACACGTATAACGTGTGTAAACACTCACCACACCACACGTATAACGTGTGTAAACACTCACCACATGTATAACGTGTAAACACTCACCACACCACACGTATAACGTTGTAAACACTCACCACACCACATGTATAACGTGTGTAAACACTCACCACACCACAGTATAACGTTGTAAACACTCACCACACCACATGTATAACGTGTGTAAAACACTCACCACACCACATGTATAATGTGTTAAACACTACCACACCACATCGTATAACGTGTGTAAACACTCACCACACCACATGTATAACGTGTGTAAACACTCACCACACCACACGTATAACGTGTGTAAACACTCACCACATGTATAACGTGTGTAAACACTCACCACACCACACGTATAACGTGTGTAAACACTCACCACACCACATGTATAACGTGTGTAAACACTCACCACACCACACGTATAACGTGTGTAAACACTCACCACATGTATAACGTGTGTAAACACTCACCACACCACATGTATAACGTGTGTAAAACACTCACCACACCACACGTATAACGTTTGTAAACACTCACCACATGTATAACGTGTGTAAACACTCACCACACCACACGTATAACGTTTGTAAACACTCACCACACCACATGTATAACGTGTGTAAACACTCACCACACCACACGTATAACGTGTGTAAACACTCACCACACCACACGTATAACGTGTGTAAACACTCACCACAGCAGGGGAGGGCACATGGATGCTGGGTACGGATCGTGGCCGCACGTGATTGGCTAGATGGCAGAGTACGACCCCGTCGGTCAGTGCTGCTCCAAGGTCGCTGGGCAAGGACACTTTCAGACGCGACTCGATGTTCTACAAAATAGAGTACGACACAGTTACAGTGGGATCAGCACATGTAGGGCCAGGAGTTGTTCCTGACCTTGTGATCTGACCTGGGCTCATAAAACATCTCAGATTAGGAGTGCTGATCTAGGATCAGGTCCCCTGTGTCCATATAATAGTACTCATTACAATCTGAAAGGCAAAACTGATTCTAGTTCAGCACTTCTACTCTGAGAAGCTTTATGAACCCAGTCGAAACTCCAGGCCCTAATCGTTTGGTTAAAAGGGGGGAGAATCTGTCGGGTGTTGCTCACCTTCCGCAGTTGCTCCACCAGAGCAGCCTCCTCTCCCACAGGGCCTTGAGGTTGGGTAGGGGTCACCTCTTCAGGCTCTGGCCCGGGGGAGGCACCATCACCTGGGGAGGAAGGCAGAAACACACAGGCTCAAACAAACACAAGATCAAAAGCTGGTGAAAGCAGAATGGGTGCTAATGACTAATCCTGAAGAGGGGGAATATCCAGCTTTCTACAGATACAATGGCATGATCAGACGGCTGGCAAACAATTCAGAAGACAAACCACAGCAGATAGACAGACCTCTACAGCAACAGGCAGACGGAACTCTGAGCTGCAGATCGACAAGCTCTGAGCAACAGACGGAAGGAACTCCGAGCAACAGACAAACAGAACACTGAGCAACAGGCGGAAGGAACTCTGAGCAACAGGCGGAAGGAACTCTAAGCAACACAGACAGAACGCTGAGCAACAGGCGGAAGGAACTCCGAGCAACAGACAGACAGAACACTGAGCAACAGGCGGAAGGAACTCTGAGCAACAGGCGGAAGGAACTCTAAGCAACACAGACAGAACGCTGAGCAACAGGCGGAAGGAACTCCGAGCAACAGACAGACAGAACACTGAGCAACAGGCGGAAGGAACTCCGAGCAACAGACAGACAGAACACTGAGCAACAGGCGGAAGGAACACTGAGCAACAGGCGGAAGGAACTCTAAGCAACACAGGCAGAACGCTGAGCAACAGGCGGAAGGAACTCCGAGCAACAGACAGACAGAACACTGAGCAACAGGCGGAAGGAACTCTGAGCAACAGGCGGAAGGAACTCTGAGCAACAGGCGGAAGGAACGCTGAGCAACAGGGCGGAAGGAACTCTGAGCAACACAGACAGAACGCTGAGCAACAGGCGGAAGGAACTCTGAACAACAGGCGGAAGGAACTCTGAGCAACAGGCGGAAGGAACTCTGAGCAACAGGCGGAAGGAACTCTGAGCAACAGGGCGGAAGGAACGCTGAGCAACAGGGCGGAAGGAACTCTGAGCAACAGGGCGGAAGGAACTCTAAGCAACAGGCGGAAGGAACTCTAAGCAACAGGCGGAAGGAACTCTAAGCAACACAGACAGAACGCTGAGCAACAGGCGGAAGGAACCCTGAGCAACAGGGCGGAAGGAACTCTAAGCAACACAGACAGAACGCTGAGCAACAGGGCGGAAGGAACTCTGAGCAACAGGGCGGAAGGAACTCTGAGCAACAGGGCGGAAGGAACTCTGAGCAACAGGGCGGAAGGAACTCTGAGCAACAGGGCGGAAGGAACGCTGAGCAACAGGGCGGAAGGAACTATGAGCAACAGGCGGAAGGAACTCTAAGCAACACAGACAGAACGCTGAGCAACAGGCGGAAGGAACCCTGAGCAACAGGGCGGAAGGAACTCTAAGCAACACAGACAGAACGCTGAGCAACAGGCGGAAGGAACCCTGAGCAACAGGGCGGAAGGAACTCTGAGCAACAGGCGGAAGGAACTCTGAGCAACAGGCGGAAGGAACTCTGAGCAACAGGCGGAAGGAACGCTGAGCAACAGGGCGGAAGGAACGCTGAGCAACACAGGCAGAACGCTGAGCAACAGGCGGAAGGAACTCTGAGCAACAGGGCGGAAGGAACTCTGAGCAACAGGGCGGAAGGAACTCTGAGCAACAGGGCGGAAGGAACTCTGAGCAACAGGGCGGAAGGAACGCTGAGCAACAGGGCGGAAGGAACGCTGAGCAACAGACAGAACGCTGAGCAACAGGGCGGAAGGAACGCTGAGCAACACAGACAGAACGCTGAGCAACACAGACAGAACTCTGAGCAACAGGCGGAAGGAACTCTGAGCAACGGGCGGAAGGAACGCTGAGCAACAGGGCGGAAGGAACGCTGAGCAACAGGGCGGAAGGAACGCTGAGCAACAGGGCGGAAGGAACTCTGAGCAACATGGCGGAAGGAACTCTGAGCAACAGGGCGGAAGGAACTCTGAGCAACAGGGCGGAAGGAACGCTGAGCAACAGGGCGGAAGGAACTCTGAGCAACAGGCGGAAGGAACTCTGAGCAACAGGCGGAAGGAACTCTGAGCAACAGGGCGGAAGGAACTCTGAGCAACAGGGCGGAAGGAACTCTGAGCAACAGGCGGAAGGAACTCTGAGCAACAGGCGGAAGGAACTCTGAGCAACAGGCGGAAGGAACTCTGAGCAACAGGGCGGAAGGAACTCTGAGCAACAGGGCGGAAGGAACTCTGAGCAACAGGCGGAAGGAACTTGAGCAACAGGGCGGAAGGAACTCTGAGCAACAGGGCGGAAGGAACTCTGAGCACAGGGCGGAAGGAACTCTGAGCAAACAGGGCGGAAGGAACGCTGAGCCACAGGCGGAAGGAAACTCTGAGCAACAGGCGGAAGGAACTCTGAGCACACAGGCAAGAACGCTGAGCAAACAGGGCGGAAGGAACTCGGAGCAACAGGGCGGAAGGAACTCTGAGCAAACAGGGCGGAAGGAACTCTGAGCAACAGGGCGGAAGGAACTCTGAGCAACAGGGCGGAAGGAACGCTGAGCCACAGGGCGGAAGGAACTCTGAGCAACAGGCGGAAGGAACTCTGAGCAACACAGGCAGAACGCTGAGCAACAGGGCGGAAGGAACTCTGAGCAACAGGGCGGAAGGAACTCTGAGCAACAGGGCGGAAGGAACTCTGAGCAACAGGGCGGAAGGAACTCTGAGCAACAGGGCGGAAGGAACGCTGAGCAACAGGGCGGAAGGAACGCTGAGCAACAGGGCGGAAGGAACGCTGAGCAACAGGGCGGAAGGAACGCTGAGCAACAGGGCGGAATGAACGCTGAGCAACAGACGGAAGGAACTCTGAGCAACAGGGCGGAAGGAACGCTGAGCAACAGACGGAAGGAACTCTGAGCAACAGGGCGGAAGGAACGCTGAGCAACAGACGGAAGGAACGCTGAGCAACAGACAGACAGAACGCTGAGCAACAGACAGACAGAACGCTGAGCAACAGACAGACAGAACGCTGAGCAACAGACAGACAGACCTCTACAGCAACAGACGGAACTTAAAGTAATAGACACATGGAAGTCCCTGAACTCTACAGCAACAGACAGAACTCAGACCTATAGTCAGTCAGAACTCAAAGTAACAGATGGGATCACAAAACCAACAGAGCAGATCATCCATAACAGTCAAAACAAAAGCCGACAATTTCCCCTCCCCCATTTAAAACATAGATCATTTTGGATATGGACAGATTTCTAAAACTATACACCCCCACCGCCCCCTTCTATATTGTTAGACTATCTACAGTTTCGCTCAGTGACTGTGCAGGATCCCATCCAGTCGTGTCTATCAGCCAAGCTACAGTTACCAGAGCAATGTCACATACGACACTCAATTGCGACATGCGCATTACACACTTGAGAGGTATCAACACCTTCTTCTGAAAGCTCCCAAGGCAATGCAACGGAGATCCAGAGGTTGTGATCCAGTGACATACCTCTCCTCTTCTCTTCCTTCTGGCTGAGGCCAAACAAGAAGCTGTCTGGCCGCTGGCAGGAGGGCGGGGCAACAGGGCCAGGGTAAGAAGGTGATTGGAGGGCTGCAAGCAGAACAGGAAGTGAGCAGGTGGGAGAGTGGCAGAGTGAATAGGGCGTGGAATAAAATCCTTTCAGATCCACAGGAACGTCTAGGGGGTAGTGGTCAATTTGGGATACAGAAATTAGTAAATTAGTAAGGAGAGGGGAGGAGTGTGTGGGAAGCCGCACAAGTTCACAGCCATTTATAATCTGGTTTCCCTGGAAGCCAGTAGGACTAGCTGCACCTAGCAGTGAATGGCAGCCGTGATGTAACTGTAGAGGGAAATGGAGGAATAGTGTGACTGGTGTCTTACCTGTGGGAGACAGGGAGGAGGAGCGATCCTCGCCCTGCTGAGTGGCCAGTCGAGTCCCAGCGGAGAGAAAACAGAGGGAGAGAGAGTTAATTTCATCCCTCTTTCAATTTGACACCAGCATTCATGCATATCCGGTTCCCTCAACAATACTCCGGTGTCTCACACCAGAGATGTAATGGGAAGGGTAAAGGCCCGTAAACATCACTCAAGCATCTTTTGACGCCAAAATTAGCGCTGTTAGCATTACCATTCATCTTGACTGTTTGGTGTTTACAGACCTCTCTTTTACAGCTACATCAAAGATCGGAGAGGGTGGACTATGGGCATAGAACCATGGAGCACTGGACCAGTGTTTAGCAGCATGCTCTAAAAGCCAAAGTATAAGGAAATAAAGAGAAAGAGACGGAGAAGGGAGGTTGATCTGAAAAGACGACGCGCAAGGTTGCAGTACCTGCTGTAGACATGTGGGGGCGATGTCGGCAGGATAAGAGACACACCCATCTATGGACATCCCAGACCCAGAAAGAGACTGGGGGGGGTTGAGGACAAAAAAAATGAATGAGAGAGACAAGAAAGGAATGCCAAAAGGTGGTTGAGGGATTTTTTAAAATAAAATCCGATGAGGATTGGGGGGAAAATGTAACTCAAGGAAGTGTGAAGGTAAATATGATAAAGAGAAAAAGACGTGAAATAATTGAGATTTTATATGAAGAGAGAGATGGAAAGAAAATTGAGTACTGTTCTGTTAATTGAGTAACCACAGTGCGCACAGCATGCTGCACAGATAAGGGCCTCAAAATAACTGTGCGCGTGTATGGTTGCGTCTGTGTGTGTGATGGTACACTACATGACAAAAAGTATGTGAACAGCTGCTCGTCGAACATCTCATTCCAAAATCATGGGCATTAATATGGAGTTGGTCGCCCCCTTTGCTGCTATAACAGCCTCCACTCTTCTGGGAAGGCTTTCCACTAGATGTTGGAACATTGCTGCGGGGACTTGCTTCCATTCAGCCACAAGAGCATTAGTGAGGTCGGGCACTGATGTTGGGTGATTAGGCCTGGCTCGCAGTCGGCATTCCAATTCATCCCAAAGGTGTTCAATGGTGTTGAGGTCAGGGCTCTGTGCAGGCCAGTCAAGTTCTTCCACACTGATCTCGACAAACCATTTCTGTATGGACCTCGCTTTGTGCACGGGGGGATTGTCATGCTGAAACAGGAAAGGGCCTTCCCAAACTGTTGCCACAAAGTTGGAAGCACAGAATTGTCTAGAATGTCATTGTATGCTAAAGTGTAAAAATGTCCCTTCACTGGAACTAAATGGCCTAGGCCAAACCATGAAGAACAGCCCCAGACCATTATTCCTCCACCAAACTTTACAGTTGGCTCTATGCATTGAAGCAGTTAGCGTTATCCTGGCATCTGCCATTCCCAGATTCGTCCGTCGGACTGCCAGACGGTAAAGCGTGATTCATCACTCCAGAGAACGCGTTTCCACTGCTCCAGAGTCCAATGGCAGCGATTCTTACACCACTCCAGCCGATGCTTGGCATTGCGCATGGTGATCTCAGGCTTGTGTGCGGCTGCATGGCCATGAAAACCCATTTCATGAAGATCCAGACGAACAGTTCTTGTGCTGATGTTGCTTCCAGAGGCAGTTTAGAACTCGGTAGTGAGGACAGAAGATTTCTACGGGCCACGCTCGTCAGCACTCAGCGGTCCAGTTCTGTGAGCTTCTGTGGCCTACCACTTCGCGGCTGAGCCGTTGTTGCTCCTAGACGTTTCCACTTCACAATAACAGCACCTTGACAAACAGACTTGTTGGAAAGGTGGCATCCTATGATGGTGCCACGTTGAAAGTCACTGAGCTCTTCAGTAAGGGCATTCTACTGCATATGTTTGTCTATGGAGATTGCATGGCTGTGTGCTCGATTTTATATACGTCAGCAACAGGTGTGGCTGAAATAGCCGAATCCACTAATTTGAAGGCATGTCCACATACTTTGGTAGAGCACGGCGCTTGTAACGCCAAGGTAGTGGGTTCGATCCCCGGGACCACCCATACACAAAAATGTATGCACGCACGACTGTAAGTCGCTTTGGATAAAAGCGTCTGCTAAATGGCATATTATTATTATTATTACTTTTGTATATATACACAGTGCATTCGGAAAGTATTCAGACCCCTTGACTTTTTCTACATTTTGTTCCGTTACAGCCTTATTCTAAAATTGATTAAATTGTTTTTTCCCCCTCATCAATCTACACACAATACCCAATAATGACGAAGCAAAAACAGGTTTTTAGAATTATAGCAAATGTATTTTAAATAAAAAACTGAAATATCACATTTACATAAGTATTCAGACCCTTTCCTCAGTACTTTGTTGAAGCACCTTTGGCAGAGATTACAGCCTCAAGTCTTCTTGGGTGTGACGCTACAAGCTTGGCTGTAGAAACATCTCAAGGATGGTCAATGGAAACAGGATGCACCTGAGCTCAATTTTGATTCTCATAGCAAAGGGTCTGAATACTTATGTAAATAAGGTATTTATGTTTTTTATTTTTAATAAACTTGCAACTTTGCTTTGTCATTATGGGGTATTGTGTGTAGATCGATGAGATTATTATTTTTAAAATCAACTTTAGAATACGGCTGTAACGTAACAAAATGTGGAAAAAGTCAAGGGGTCTGAATACTTTCCGAATGCACTGTAGTGTATGTTTGCAGACAGCGCATTTATACCATTTTACATTTTAGTCAATTAGCAGACGCTTTTATCCAGAGCAATTTACAGGAGCAATTAGGATTAAGTGCCTATGACTTGGTTTGTTTGTATGAATTGCTGTGATTAATCCAACAATGTGTGACTGTATGCTGCGTACACATAGTTGTTCCCTAAAAGTAAAATGTTTGTGTGTGTGTGTGTGTGTGTGTGTGTAGTACTGTAACCAAAAAGCAGTGTTTCACCTGCTTGTGAGTGCCAGGCCTCCTCTTTATAGTGTTGGTGTCAGTGTCTATCTCAAACACCATGAGAGGCTGGTACTCGCTCTAACAGTGAACCAGCCGGAGATGGGTGAAAGAGAGAGAGCAAAGAAAATAAACAAACACAGAAAGAAGGGAATCGGATAGGAAAGAGGTGGAGGAGGAGAAGAAGAGAGGGGTTAAGCCAAGACGGGTATAAGCTGGTTACAATGCCTCAGGAAGATGAAGGGACCTATTTGCTGCGCCCTATGGGCTCTGGACAAAAGTAGTGAACTATATAGGGAATAGGGTGCCTTTTTTTTTTTTAAGTGAGCCGAGAGGCATGGTTAGCTCACCATGTCCCGCCCAAACCAGGCTGTAAATAAGCTGTGTCTACCAAAGCAGGCTGATCCTTGAGTTACACCGTACTGTGCTCAGAGAAAAGAGAGCCAGAGGAGTACAGTTTGGGTCGGCGGAACGTTTGTGTGTAAAATGTATAATAGCCAGGGTTGTGTTCATTAAGGCACTTGATATAAAACAAAAATGAGCGTTTCCATCTTAGTCCCACTTGGCAGTTCAATCCGCTTTCTTCCGTTTGGTGCATAATGAACACTACCCAGTTAATGTTGTCAAATGCCAGACTCTTCTTTTAAAGTGACGGTGAATGGAGGAATGCATCACTCACTGACTAAAAGACTGTTGGATTACTGGAAAAACCGAACGCAGTCCATAAGATTGTCAGATGCAATTACAATCAATGAGAAAGACCGGATTTCCACACTGAAAACGTTATGCATATGACGAAATACAGGTAACTGCCCAAATAAAGGAAACTCCTAAATAAAGTGTCTTAATAGGGTGTTGCTACCACGAGCCACCAGAACAGCTTCAATGTGCCTTGGCATAGATTCTACAAGTGTCTGGAACTCTATTGGAGGGATGCGTCACCATTCTTCTATGAGAAATTCCATTTTGTTGATGGTGGTGGAAAACGCTGTCAGGCGCCACTCCAGAATCTGCCATAAGTGTTCAATTGGGTTGAGATCTGGTGACTGAGACACACACACCCTTTAAAAACACCCTATGCTCCTTTGACACCCCTCTTTCAAAATCACAGATATTTTCTTCCAACCATGGTAGCCAAAATAATGGGCAACTGGGCATTTTATACATGACCCTAAGCATGATGGGATGTTAATTGCTTAATTAACTCAGGAACCACACCTGTGTGGAAGCACCTGCTTTCAATATACTTTGTATCCCTCATTTACTCAAGTGTTTCCTTTATTTTGGCAGTTACCTTTAAGTCTATAAATTCATTATAGTGTGAATGTGTGTAGCTATATAACCAAACAGTAGACAAGAGTGTCAATACAACCCTGGAATACTAGTTAGAGATAGAGGGAGAGGTCTATGAAAGGTTATTGGGTGTTGACGTGTGGGTAGAGGACGGACACAGAGCAGGTGACACACTGGTCATGTTCCCATTTCCTACTGTTCTCCTAAAGTGGGCACTCATTTACCCACATGGGTTTAAAAGCATAAGATTCATTTTTGTAAAAAAATACAATAAAATCCCCCAAAACAGCATTGCATTGGTGTAAGTATGACATGGGCTACCAATTCTTTCCCCAGTTGCTTCCTTTTAAAACAGTGGTATTCAAAGTCGGGGTCGCGACCCCTTGTGGGGCCGACCGGGAACTGCAGCGGGGGCCAAGTATAATTTTTTTATTAAGAGTACAGATTATTGTATGGAATGATATACAAACATTTTTTGAGAAAGATAACTTGAAAAATACATTTTTATTGAGTAAATGTATTTATTGGTTTCCTTTTCATTTTGATAAGAGATGAAAATGCAATGAATTGAAGGTTATTTGTTGATGTAAAATCTAAATTGACCACTGTTTTAAATTCAGTGGAGGAGGAGTGAAGGAGTGCACACTTGTAGGCAGAGAAGAGAAGAAGAGAGTGGGAGCACTGCCCCGGGGCCTTACCATGAAGAGGGCAGAGTCGTCCGTGTGGGTGGAACGCCTGGAGGGGTACGTGTTCTGGCAGGGAGGAGTGGAAGAGAGGGAATGAGGACAGACCACACAGGGAAGACCGGAGGTCAGGATGGAGAGGGGGGGGAGATAGCTAGGATATATAGCCAGGGCTCCAGACTAACATTTTCCCCTGGTGGCACTGGTGCCACTAACATTTACAGTTGGCCCATGATTTGGTGGCATCCCCGAAAAAAAAGTGTGCAGCATCACACAATAGAATACATTTGAGTCAGCACCTTATAACGTCATTCACAATGCTTTATTAAGAAGTGCAATAGACTACCGAGATTGTATTCAACAAATAAGTTGTCACATCAACATGTCCAAGCAGGAATGGATGATACAAAATATTTTTATATGCAACCTAATCCAGTGATTGTCATGAATTTTGGGTTGACAATTAGGCTACTTTTGTTATATTTTACTGTCAATATAGGGCTCCAGAATTCATTTTTTAAAATTATTTATGCACTAATATTATTGTGGTATAGTATATGCATTGGTTGAAGCTCAATGTTACATTTTAATCTCCCTACCATCATATCTTAGCCAATATGACACCAACTTGATTAGCGGCCTCTCGTCATGATCTGTCTGGCCGTTTGCTACAAGCAAAGGAAGCTAGATATATTTTGCTATGGAAGGTTTTTCCACATGGCTGAAGTCATCTGTGTAAACTGTTGGCCTTGACACTTGCATGTAATAAGCACAAATAAGATAGCGAACGTCCTTGACTGCTATTGCCAGTTAGCTAGCCAACTAATGTTAGCCAGTAACGTTAGCTAGCTACAAGCCAACAGGGCTGTAACGTCAGCTGTATGGACGGATCATGCACCAGCACAACTCATTGTTGACAATATAGCTATCCCACAAATTTTGGGAAACTGCCACGCTGCTAATGTATAAAACATGTAATGGGCATTGCGCATCTAACATTAACGTTAGCTAACGTTACTCTAAACAGTAGTCAATATGCTAATGATGTAAATGTAAATCTGGCTTGCTTAGCAATGTAGCTGGCTAACGTTACAGACCTTTCCTTATGCATTGATTCAGTACGCTCCTTCCTCTGTCAATGCAATTTTATTTTAGTCATTATAATCAAAATTTGCGCACACCGATTTTCCAGCACACAGCTGTCACCTACTACAGTAGCTATGTTGGTCTATTGTACTTCAAACAATGTGTATGCAGGCTGCTTAGGATTCAAACCTTCTAAAACAGCCTAATTCATACTCTTAGAGGAGGTGCTCCCACAATAATGTGATTTGGAGGTTACAATAGGGCTTTGGAGGTTACAGAAATCAGGAATGCAGACAGGCTCTATAGACTTCAATTTACAGTGCATTCGGAAAGTATTCAGACCGCTTTACTTTTTCCCCATTTTGGTATGTTACAGCCTTATTCTAAAATGGATTAAATAGTTTTGTTTACCTCATCAATCTACACACAATACCCCATAATGACAAAGCAAAAACAGGTTTTTAGAAATGTTAGCAAATATATATATATATTTTTTAAACAACTGAAATATCACATTTACATAAGTATTCAGACCCTTTACTCAGTACTTTGTTGAAGCACCTTTGGCAGCGATTACAGCCTCGAGTCTTCTTGGGAATGACGCTACAAGCTTGGCACAACTGTATTTGGGGAGTTTCTCCAATTCTTCTCTGCAGATCCTCTCAAGCCCTGTCAGATTGGATGGGGAGCGTCGCTGCAGAGCTGTATTCAGGTCTCTCCAGAGATGTTCGATCGGGTTCAAGTACAGGCTCTGGCTGGGCCACTCAAGGACATTCAGAGACTTGCCCTAAAGCCACTCCTGCATGGTCTTGGCTGTGTGCTTAGGGTCATTGTCCTGTTGGAAGGTGAACCTTCACCCCAGTCTGATGTCCTGAGCAGGTTTTCTTCAAGGATCTCTCTGTACTTTGCTCCATTCATCTTTCCCTCTATCCTGACTAGTCTTCCAGCCGCTGCCGCTGAAAAACATCCCCACAGCATGATGCTACCACTATGCATTGGGGCAGGTAGTGTTCTCCTGGCATGTTCTCCTGGCATATTTGACGAACTGACTTGTTGGAAAAGTGGCATCCTATGATGGTGCCACGTTGAAAGTCACTGAGCTCTTCAGTAAGGCCATTCTACTGCCAATCTTTGTCTACTGAGATTGCATGGCTGTGTGCTCGATTTGATACACCAGTCAACACCAACGGGTGTGGCTGAAATAGCCGAATCCACTAATTTGAAGGGGTGTCCACATACTTTTGCATATATAGTGTATCTTGTCTGCTAAACTAGCCTACAGCCTATGGCATGGAGCATAGCCAGATAACATACAGTAGGTAACTCTTATTCTGTTCTTCTGAAATACATTTTCTTCATGTCATAATGTTTCTTTAGACCTGCCTAGAATAAATAATGGAATTATTGTGATGGTGTATATTGAATTGATTTAATATACTTTTTAAAATGTAGATGTTCCAAAGGTGTGCATCAGCGGCTTGTATGCTTTGGCCTGGAAATGCTAAACGTGTTTATGTTAATTAATGGTAAATTACCGCGACACAGGCAGTCTTTTGCATGACAATAACTGGCTGACAAAATGTCATGACCGCCACAGCCCTAGATGCAGTACAAATCCCATTATTGTGGTTTGAGATCCTAAGGTTTGAATCCTAAGCAACCTGCATACACATTGTTTGAAGTACAATAGACCAACATAGCTACTGTAGTAGGTCAAAGCTGTTTGCATGGAAGGAGCTCGTGTGAATTTCCTTTCATTTTCGGCTTCAGACCAATGCCTAATTCAATTGGGGATTATTCACCAACTGAGGAAGTGGAAACGCAAAACACATCAGCTTGATCGCTAACTCTAAATATAACAACTACTGCTTATAGCCATGTATTAATCTAACAGTAATTGTCCCCAAGAAAACTGCAATGAGGCGTAGTGCACTTGCTATGGCCAATGTGCAATTTCACGTGCTGTGTATTTCAAAGCCATATCAGATAACGTGATTGTAAAACAGTGTGCTTTGAGCTCAATAATACAAATTATACTTACAGAAAGCTGAGACCCTCCTCTCTTTAATATGGACAACTAGTTGCTTCCAAAGTTGTGTTTTTTCCACGCAATTGCATTTTGAAATGTTTTACAATCACAAGGGGCCCACAAGGGGGTAGAGCGAGTGTGAGGCTCCCTCATTACAGCAGCCGGCCACAACGAAACAGGCAGGCACAGCAGCAGGGCAGACACTTGTATTATAGGAATCATGAGGATAATGTACTTTACTGTTTAACAAATTCATGGTTTTATCTGCCCCAAAAATAGGATGTTTTGATTGAGGTGACCAGGTAGAATGTGCATCTCGAACCAGTGCGACCAATAAAAAAATGTAACATGCACAGCGAAGTTAAAGGGTTGCAAAATGCGACTAAATGGTTGCAGTCTGGAGCCCTGCATATAGCACTGATGTATTTAGAGTAGGGACAAAAAATGTCATAAAAAATATTGTTAACCGACAACAATACATTGCTGGGGTCGTAGATGTTTCATCTTTACCCTCAAGAATCAGTGATAATATAACTGGAGAGGGAGGGTGAAGGAAGGCATGTGACCACAATAGGAGCAAAAGAGAGGGATGATGTGTGTGTGGAGGGTTAACGGAGGACGCGATGGAGGACGCGTCCCGAGTGAGTGGCTCCCGAGTGGCGCAGTGGTCTAAGGCACTGCATCGTAGTGCTAGCTGTGCCACTAGAGATCCTGGTTCGAATCCAGGCTCTGTCGTAGCCGGCCGCGACCGGGAGACCCATGGGGCGGCGCACAATTGGCCCAGCGTCGTCCAGGGTAGGGGAGGGAATGGCCGGCAGGGAGGTAGCTCAGTTGGTAGAGCATGGTGTTTGCAACGCCAGGGTTGTGGGTTCGATTCCCACGGGGGGCCAGTATGAAAAAATAAAATAATGTATGCACTAACTGTAAGTCGCTCTGGATAAGAGCGTCTGCTAAATGACGTAAATGTAAATGTAAAGTGGGATGAGGTAGATTGCATGGGAGGAATGGACACCGGATGTGACTGCTGAAGACTATGTGTGGTCATGTTTACGGAGAGCCCCTGTGAAACTTTATTAAATCCGATGCTTTTTTAGTTATACATATAACCTTTCATGCCAACACCCATATTAACTCACCATGGAGAAACCTTCAGAGTGAGAGAAAACAAAGCAAAGAGGAAAGGGAGGAGAGAAGAGAGTGTAGAGAGCAGTGTGTGGACTCACCTCGTTTTCTGTGGGACTAAGCTTGGTAGGGCTTTGAGACGCTTTGTGCTGTGGAGACCGAGAGACCAGTCTCAGTAATACACAGAGCAAAAGTATCCAAAAGTAAAAGTGTTTTTTTAAGCTCACTACTCAAGCTACTTGGATTTGAGATCAGATAATGAATGAGTAAAAACGCACTAGAGAATGTCACTTTCATTTGAGGCCATTCATATTTATCTTGTACTTTAACATTTTAAAACATGAAGACTACTGTAGATACATACACAGCATCAGTACTTTCTATTACAAACGCCCCACTAACTCCCCACTTACGCCACTGCATACAGTGATCCAAGAGCAAAACATAAAATCAACAGAATAAAAATGAATAGTAGTCTGAGGAACCTTGACGTAGGTCATGACGGTGTCCCGCTGCACTGAGCGCGACTTCTGCCTCTCCTCCTCGTACCGCAGGGCGGCCAACTGGGCCATCCTCCGCACGCGCTCTACGCCCCCACCAGGGACCCCGCCAAGTCCCGCACCAGCACCAATCCTGGCCCCTGACCCTCTCTGAACACAGGGAGAGAGAGGGAGGGGGAGAGAGAGAGGGAGGGGGGGAGAGCGAGGGAGGGGGGGGGAGCGAGGGAGGGGGGGAGAGCGAGGGAGGGGGGAGAGCGAGGGAGGGGGGAGAGCGAGGGAGGGGGGAGAGCGAGGGAGGGAACAAAGAGAGAGAGAGGGAGAGATGAAGGAAGGAAGGAAGATAGCAGAGAAAAACAGAAAGACGGAGAGGAGACAGCAGGAGGAAGAGAGGAGTAGAGTTGAAAAGAGGCGATATTGACATTTAGACTCAATAAATCACATTTTAAAACATGCAAGTAGTAATTGACGTAGTAATAATCAGTATTGGAAGCTGTACACAGCATTTAGACACACTGGTTACCTGATTATGAGAGGCAGAAGAGGCTGGATCATGGGCAGTCCTGAGGGAGGGGGGTTGGTGGGAGACAGATGGGGGAAGGGAGGGGGTTAGATGTGTGATCTAACTCAATACAGATTAGATTAGAGATCTTTATTTAGACTGGAGATTATATGGTCTGTTCAAAAACATTTGTGAAAAACTGAACAGAGACACGACAACACAGGCTGAGAATCTGCCACAGAGCTGGACTCGTGTTTGTGTGAGAGTAACACATCACATACAACACTGTTATAATCAATGTTCACTCTACATTTATTCGGCACTGAGCAAATTTCAGGTCTGCTGAGCGCGAACTATAACTTGTGAAAATTCTGTGCAACTTCCAGTGTGCGTTTACTGTGAACACTGAGCCTGTACCCGCTTTGTTACAGTTTCAGACAGTGGTAAAGTAGGCTACTATTTGATCATAATGTAGGCCTACCATAGTTTCCTACGATCAAAAATAATGGAGAAAATGCATCCCATAACATTTTAACATGGAAATAGCTGTTATTTCATTCAGCCTACAGTAGCAACCAATGTGTGGTGTTCAATGTAGGTCTACATTCCATGAGACTTAAAAAAAAAAATATCCACTTGGTAAACAGACGAGGTGATGCAAGAAACCCCCTTACAAAATAAAATACATTATTATTCTCATACCATTATTACAGAGAATCAGACAAATTATGTTACCCTCTACCTATTGGCTACTTAGCTTATTCAAGCCTGTCTCAAAATACAACTGCCCTTTTAAGACAGAAAAAAAAAAGCTATTTAACTGACTCGCTTTTCAAAGATGTCTACATTTACATTTTCGTCATTTAGCAGACGCTCTTATCCAGAGCGACTTACAAATTGGTGCATTAACCTTATAGCCAGTGGGACAACCACTTTACAATATATCAATTTTTATTTTATTTTTGTATTTATTTATTTATTATGAAAAAAAATTGGGGGGTAGGGGGAGGGTAGAAGGATTACTTTATCCTATCCCAGGTATTCCTTAAAGAGGTGGGGTTTCAAGTGTCTCCGGAAGGTGGTGAGTGACTCCGCTGTCCTGGCGTCGTGAGGGAGCTTGTTCCACCATTGGGGTGCCAGAGCAGCGAACAGTTTTGACTGGGCTGAGCGGGAGCTATGCTTCCACAGAGGTAGGGGGGCCAGCAGGCCAGAGGTGGATGAACACAATGCCCTCGTTTGGGTGTAGGAACTGATCAGAGCCTGAAGGTAAGGAGGTGCCGTTCCCCTCACAGCTCCGTAGGCAAGCACCATGTTCTTGTAGCAGATGCGAGCTTCAACTGGAAGCCAGTGGAGTGTGCGGAGGAGCGGGGTGACGTGAGAGAACTTGGGAAGGTTGAACACCAGACGGGCTGCGGCGTTCTGGATAAATTGTAGGGGTTTAATGGCACAGGCAGGGAGCCCAGCCAACAGCGAGTTGCAGTAATCCAGACGGGAGATGACAAGTGCCTGGATTAGGACCTGTGCCGCTTCCTGTGTAAGGCAGGGTCGTACTCTGCGAATGTTGTAGAGCATGAACCTACAGGATCGGGTCACCGCCTTTGATGTTAGCGGAGAACGACAGGGTGTTGTCCAGGGTCATGCCAAGGCTCTTTGCACTCTGGGAGGAGGACACAACGGAGTCTAGAAATGTACATGTTTTGTGCTCTTGTAGGAAGCAATCACGCCCCTATTGCTGACTACAAATGATCTATAACTGGGCTAATAACTCACTAACTAGCAAAGAATATGAACAAAATGTGCACACGTGGCTACATGCAGCTCTCACTTTGCTCTCAAAACAAGCGCATCTACTCACGACCGCTAATGCTGTGAACACAGTCCAGTTCAAAGTAAATGGCACAGAGATCCATATATGGCAATGGTCTATTTGCATATAGGCCTACTGCAGCTCTGATTGTTTAGAAAACACCGGTCTGTGTAAAGTACAGGCTGAGAAGTGCGTGTCAACGCAATAGAATCCTACTCCGATGCGTTCTGCCTACAACAAAATCTCTTGCATAGTTTCTTTTGTTTCGGTATGTTGCATTGAAAGTGTCTAACATTGTGTTGATTCGATCACAATTGCCACAGTAAAGGGAAACGTTGATAGTGTTAACAGGGAAAACTCTACAACAGTGGTCACCAACCTTTTCTGAGTTAAGATCACCGAGTCAAAATGCAAGCCGAAAACTACCGCTCAGATTTTTTTTTAACATGACTTGAAAAGTGTAAGCCTAAGCAACATTAACCAATTAAAAACAGTGCTGTAGCAATGAGGTTTGTGCAGTAAGCTATAGGCCCAATACATCATCATCGCATCTTAGCTTTGCTTGAATTGCCCTGCCAATGAATGCATTGCTGTTCGGGCCATTAAAAATATATATATTTCAAAATTAGAGGTAGGCTATATGATCACACCGGTAATAGATCCGTTGTTGTATTCCTTGTGAAGCACAGGTGAGTGAGCATACATTTAAATAATAATTGGCTTTTTATTTTTATTTTACTGGGCTGATGGGTGCCTGCATCTGATGGTCAGTCTCAGCGGAGGGAGAGAGCAGCAGACTGAGGGTCCGCCTCTCAACATCTCTCTGCTCGCCCTTTCCTCCACTGACACGGACCAAAAAGGGACACAGTCTTCCAGCTGACTGCGAAACTCAAGTCGCACTGCCTCATGCACAAATTCATGTTGTCACTCCCATGAACAGAGAAAGTGAAATATTCCTCGATATTAAAAAAGACCCAAGCCGCTAATAATAACAACAATGCAAGCCTATAGATACACTTTCCTACTCATTCATTACTGCTGCAGTGCTTGTTGTAGCACTGAGTGGAAATAGGAAGAACGCGCATTTTATGGTTTTATAAAAGTTGACAGTGCTGAGAAAGAACTTAAACATGAACTCACTCATAGAACAGCATCTCTTTGCTGTATTCGTTGACAGTCTCTCTCTAGTCACGGTTTTAAACATTCTGAAATCTCACAGTATCAACTTTGCTGTAGCTTTCTTTTCTGCCTGCTACTTTACTGCAGACAAGGTCATCTGAGCCATCCGAATGGCCAGCAGTAGGTCTATAGTGCACTTGATTTGCTCTCTGGGCCAGCCGGGAAGGCAGAGATTGTACCTTCAGACAAATGAAATGGTTTAAAATAGCAACCGTTCGCCTACCCGGCGCGCAGGGCGAACCGTGACAAAATACATAAATAGGAACACTGACAAAAAAGTAAAAATAGGAACAGAAGGCTTTATCGTTGGGTTTTTTACAGAACTGTTTGGCGATCGACTACGAACGCCTTGGAGATCGATCAGTGGATCGCGATCGACCGGTTGGTGACCACTGCTCTAGAAAGTTGAGTGAAGTTCAATCTCATGCTCCTCTCTGTGGGCTGATATTTCTGCGCGGCAGTATCTGGGCTACTGCTTAGAGGGAACATTGTTATAGGTCAAGTTACTAGATAGATAGGTAGTGGGTTTGTGGGTACGTCTTCTTACCTGTTCTGCAGAGAATTGTGTCGCCTCGGGTCGTCTGTCCTTGAGTCTCTGGAGGAGTTGGACTTCACTGGAGAGCCCTACAAAGAGACAGTCATCAATACACTAGCCACGATCGCTCTTACACCACAAACACACACCAGGGGTGCGTTCAGTTCAGTTCAACGTTTGCTATGTTGTGTGAAGATTTGCACTGAATGACACGTTTCCCCAAAACGGTGCGCACCATTCAACAGCCTTTAAGGTACGTTTGCCCCCGTTTGTAGAGTGTGGCGAGGTGTGGTCTAATCAATATGGATGTGACCATTTCAAATTGCAAAACTCATGCAGCACACCATACACAATTGCTTTCCGGGCCACCATAATCAGGTTCTTCAACTGTTCATTCAGAACAGTAGTTTCTGTTGAATTAAATGTTGCATAACGTTATGTTGTGAGGAACGCACCCCCAGCCTTCTACATACAGTCCTGTACACACTGGCCAGTCGCACACACACAGACACACACACACAGTTGGTTGAGTTGGCGGAGCATGGCGCTTGTACGGGTGTGATTCCCATTGGGGCAAAAATGTATGCACGCATGACTGTAAGTCCCTTTGGATAAAAGCGTCTGCTGAATGGAATATATATTTTATATCACACACACACAAATACATGTAACACACTTACCTCTCTGGTGATGCGGCGCTCAATGTAAGCCATGAACTGGGAACTGAGGCTGATGGTTTCTGCTCCTTCTCCCCTCCTACCCTCCTCCTCCTCCTCCTCTCCTGTATAACTGTCTATAAAGTCTATCTGCTCCAGCTCTGCCTCTACTAAAGACAGACAAGACAGAAAGACAGATTACACACCAGTTCAGCGTACAAAGACGCAAGATGTAGAATGTACACTGAACAAAAAAATGTTATGCAACATGCAACAATTTCAAAGATTTTACTGAGTTACAGTTCATATAAGGAAAGCAGTCAATTGAAATCAATTCATTGGTCACAGATACCTTTAAAAAAAAAGTAGAGGGGTGGATCAGAAAACCAGTCAGTATCTGGTGTGACCACCATTTGCCTCATGCAGCGTGACATCTCCTTCACATAGAGTTGATCAGGCTGTTGATTGTGGGCTGTGGAATGTTGTCCCGCTCCTCTTCAATGGCTGTGCGAAATTGCTGGATATTGGCAGGAACTGGAACACGCTGTCGTACACGTTGATCCAGAGCATCCCAAACATGCTCAATGGGTGACATGTCTGGTGAGTATGCAGGCCATGGAATAACTGGGACATTTTCAGCTTCAATAAATTGTGTACAGATCCTTGCAACATGGGGCCGTGCATTATCATGCTGAAACATGAGGTGATGGCGGCGGCTGAATGGCACGACTATGGGCCTCAAGATCTCGTCATGGTCTTTCTGTGCGCTCAAATTGCCAGCGATAAAATGCAATTGTGTTCGTTGTCCGTAGCTTATGCCTGCCCATACCATAACCCCAGTGCCATCATGGGGCTCTCTGTTCACAACGTTGACATCAGCAAACCACTCGCCCAGACGACGCCATACACGTTGTATGGCACGCGGTCTGCCCGGTACAGTTAAAACCCGGATTCATCCATGAAGAGCACACTTCTCCAGCGTGCCAGCGGCCATTGAAGGTGACCATTTGCCCACTGAAGTCGGGTTACAACGCCGAACTGCAGTCATGTCAAGACCCTGGTGAGGATGACAAGCACGAAGATGAGCTTCCCTGAGACGGTTTGACAGTTTGTGCAGATATACTTCTGTTGTGCAAACCCACAGTTTCATCAGCAGTCCGAGTGTCTGGTCTCAGACGATCCCGCAGGTGAAGAAGCTGGATGTGGAGGTCCTGGGCTGGTGTTGTTACACGTGTTCTGTGGTTGTGAGGCCGGTTGGACGTATTGCCAAATTCTCTAAAACGACATTGGAGGCGGCTTATGGTAGAGAAATTAACAATAAATTCTCTGGCAACATCTCTGGTGGACATTCCTGCAGTCAGCATGCCAATTGCACACTCCCTCAAAACAGACATCTGTGGCATTGTGTTGTGTGACAAAACTGCACATTTTAGAGTGGCCTTTTATTGTCCCCAGCACAAGTTGCACCTGTGTAATGATCATGCTGTTTAATCAGCTTCCTGATATGACAGACCTGTCAGGTGGATTGATTATATTGGCAATGGGGAAATGCTCACGAACAGGGATGTAAGCTTTTTTTGCGTATGGAACATTTCTGGAATCTTTTATTTCAGCTCATGAAACATGGGAGCAACACTTTGCATGTTGCCTTTATATTTTTGTTCAGTGTATATTTCCACAGATGTAGAATATAATCTAGACCCGTTTTATGCAAACATTCCACTCCCTGTACGCCGTGTCACATGCCAAACAGTCTGGCATGACAAGGAGTGTCAGGAAGTGAAATGCTAACACAAACAGACTGGTACCCAAGCTAGAATACAATTGAATAATACTGTGAATAAAACTGTAAATACAGTACATGACACTACACTACAGTTCACACACAAACAGACAGACATGCGTTGATTCTCACATGTGCCGTTGGTCAAAGGATGGGAGCCAGTCGTCCTGTGCTCCTCCCGCTCCCTCCGCTGTCTCTGTTCTTTGGTTATCTCTGCCACACGCAGTGGAAGGTCCGACAACTCATCTGTGGGCTGTAGGAACACAAGGGATGAAAGAGAAAGTATGGATAGCAGGAGTGAAAGAAACATTGCGAGATTAGCTTCTACAAGTGTCAACAACCTGTATTTATTAATGATATAAAGTGCATTTGGAAAGTATTCAGACCCCTTGACTTTTTCCACACTTTGTTACGTTACAGCCTTATAATAAAATGGATTGAAATTGTTGTTATTTTTTTCTCATCAATCTACACACAATACCACATAATGACAAAGCAAAATAAAGGTTTTTAAATATTTTTGCAAATGTATATAATGTGTAAATATTTGTATGAACATAACAAGATTCAACAACTGAGACATAAACTGAACAAGTTCCACAGACATGTGACTAACAGAAATGGAATAATGTGTCCCTGAACAAAGGGGGGTCAAAATCAAAAGTAACAGTCAGTATCTGGTGTGGCCACCAGCTGCATTAAGTACTGCAGTGCATCTCCTCCTCTTCTACTGCACCAGATTTGCCAGTTCTTGCTGTGAGATGTTACCCCACTCTTCCACCAAGGCACCTGCAAGTTCCCAGACATTTCTGGGGGGAATGGCCCTAGCCCTCACCCTCCATCCAACAGGTCCCTGACATGCTCAATGGGATTGAGATCCGGGCTCTTCGCTGGCCATGGCAGAACACTGACATTCCTGTCTTGCAGGAAATCAAGCACAGAACGAGCAGTATGGCTGGTGGCATTGTCATGCTGGAGGGTCATGTCAGGATGAGCCTGCAGGAAGGGTACCACATGAGGGAGGAGGATATCTTCCCTGTAACGCACAGCGTTGAGATTGCCTGCAATGACAACAAGCTCAGTCCGATGATGCTGTGACACACCGCCCCAGACCACGACGGACCCTCCACCTCCAAATCGATCCCGCTCCAGAGTACAGGCCTCGGTGTAACACTCATTCCATCGACGATGAACACAAATCCGACCATCACCCCTGGTGAGACAAAACCGCGACTTGCCAGTGAAGAGCACTTTTTGCCAGTCCTGTCTGGTCAAGCGACGGTGGGTTTGTGCCCATAGGCGACGTTGTTGCCGGTTTTATCTGGTGAGGACCTGCCTTACAACAGGCCTACAAGCCCTCAGTCCAGCCTCTCTCAGCCTATTGCGGACAGTGTGAGCACTGATGGAGGGATTGTGCGTTCCTGGTGTAACTCGGGCAGTTGCTGTTGCCATCCTGTACCTGTCCCGCAGGTGTGATGTTCGGATGTACCGATCCTGTGCAGGTGTTGTTAGACGTGGTCTGCCACAGCGAGGACGATCAGCTGTCCGTCCTGTCTCCCTGTAGCAATGTCTTAGGCGTCTCACAGTACGGACTTTGCAATTTATTGCCCTGGTCACATCTGCAGTCCTCATGCCTCCTTGCAGCAAAACTAAGGCACGTTCACGCAGATGAGCAGGGATCCTGGGCATCTTTCTTTTGGTGTTTGTCAGAGTCAGTAGAAAGGCCTCTTTAGTGTCCAAAGTTTTCATAACTGTGACCTTAAGTGTCCTTTCCACAGGTGCATGTTCATTAATTGTTTATGGTTCATAAATGTTCATAAATGGTTCATAAATATGGTTCTGCTAAATGATTAAATGTAAAATGTAATTGAAAAAGCATGGGAAACCGTGTTTTAACCCTTTACAAGGAAGATATGTGAAGTTATTTGGATTTTCATGAATTATCTTTGAAAGACAGGGTACTGAAAAATAAGTTTCTTTTTTTGCTCAGTTTATATAGAAAAACACTTCAAAATCACATTTACATAAGTATTCAGACCCTTTACTCAGTACTTTGTTGAAGCACCTTTGGCAGCAATTACAGCCTTGAGTCTACTTGTGTATGACGCTATAAGCTTTGCACACCTCTATTTGGGGAGTTTCTCCCATTCTACTCTGCAGATCCTCTCAAGCTCTGTCAGGTTGGATGGGGAGAGTCGCTGCACAGCTATTTTCAGGTGTCTCCAGAGATGTTCGATTGGGTTCAAGTCCCGGCTCTGGCTGAGCCACTCAAGGACATTCAGAGACTTGTCCCGAAGCCACTCCTGCATGGTCTTGGCTGTGTGCTTAGGGTCGTTGTCCTGTTGGAAGGTGAACCTTCGCCCCAGTCTGAGGTCCTGAGTACTTGAGCAGGTTTTCATCAAGGATCTCTCTATACTTTGCTCCATTCATCTTTCCCTCGATCCTGACTAGTCTCCGAGTCCCTGCTGCTGAATAACATCCCTACAGCATGATGCTCCCACCACCATGCTTCACAGGTTTCATCAGACCAGATAATCTGGTTTCTGATGGTCTGAGATTTCTTAAACAGAAATCCTTTATTTACGGTAAGTATTCAGACCCTTTGCTATGAGACTAGAAATTGAGCTCCGGTGCATCCCGTTTCCATTGATCCTCGAGATGTTTCCACAACTTGATTGGAGTCCACCTGTGGTAAATTCAATTGATTGGACAGGATTTGGAAAGGCACACACCTGTCTATATAAGGTCCCCCAGTTGACAGTGCATGTCAGAGCAAATACCAAGTCATGAGGTCGAAGGAACTATTCATAGAAAGACAGTCTTGTGTTGAGGCACAAATCTGGGGAAGGGTACCAAAAAATGTCTGCAGCATTGAAGGTCCCCAAGAATCAGGCCTTTATGGTAGAGTGGCCAGACGGAAGCCACTCCTCAGTAAAAGACACATGACAGCCCGCTTTGATATTTGCCAAAAAGCACCTAAAGGACTCTCAGACCATGAGAAACAAGGATCTCCGGTCTGACGAAACCAAGACTGAACTCTTTGGCCTGAATGCCAAGCGTCACGTCTGGAGGAAACCTGGCACCATCCCTACGGTGAAGCAGGGTGGTGGCAGAATCATGCTGTGGGGATGTTTGTCAGCGGCAGGGACAGGGAGACTAGTCAGGATCTAGGCAAAAATGAACGGAGCGAAGTACAGAGAGATCCTTGATGAAAACCTGCTCCAGAGCACTCAGGACCTCAGACTGGGGCGAAGGTTCACCTTCCAACAGGACAACGACCCTAAGCACACAACCAAGACAATGCAGGAGTGGCTTCGGGACAAGTCTCTGAATGTCCTTGAGTGGCCCAGCCAGAGCCCAGACTTGAACCCGATCGAACATCTCTGGAGAGACCTGAAAATAGCTGTGCAGCAACGCTCCCCATCCAGATAGATTGCAAAATAGTTGGGAAGAGATTTTTGACGTACCGATCCCATGGCATAGTGTTTATGAACTGACACGCAAAACGACACCGGATTCAAAAATTTGAATCTTTCAATTTAAATTATTATATAAAATTCTTGCTACCAATATAATGTTATTTATATGGGGGATACAATCTTCCCAGCTCTGCAGATTTTGCTGTGAAGAGACAGAATCATTAGATCATTTGTTTTGGTTCTGTCCATTTGTAGCTTGTTTTTGGACACAGGTCCAGGAATGGCTAAAGGATTGCAATATTTACCTGGAGCTAACCTTGCAGATAGCATTACTGGGTGATCTGAAAAGTCATAGTCAATCAATCAATAATATAATAATACTTTTAGCTAAAATGTTTATTTTTAATTCACAATCTGTAGAAGCAATGAGAATAGAAAGGTTCAGAACTTTTGTAAAACATCACAGTACGGTTGAAATATATATGGCAAATAGAAATCCTATATGGATGGTGTTAAGAGATAGATGGGATGTATTGAATTGAGTTGAAGGATGGGACTAATAACAAATAACAACAAATAATAACAAGATAACTAATAATGTAAGCATACTGTGTCCATAATAAGTATATAGGATGTATCTTGGGAGCTTTTGGGAAAGAGCACAGTTAGAAAGTTATGGCATATAGAAGCAAACCGGATGGACATCATGAAAATGATCGGAGAGGTTGAGAGGAGAAGTAGTTCAGGAGCATAATATAAAAAAAAATAAAAATAAAAATATTATTGTAAAATAGATAGTAAGTATAGGCTGGAAGTAGAGACCTGGGCATTGTTGTTCCCTAATAACCCCAAGTAGGGAAAGGATGGCAGGGTTGAAAATTAATAAAGGGGGGTATACAGTGGGGGAAAAAAGTATTTAGTCAGCCACCAATTGTGCAAGTTCTCCCACTTAAAAAGATGAGAGGCCTGTAATTTTCATCATAGGAACACGTCAACTATGACAGACAAATTGAGGGAAAAAAATCCAGAAAATCACATTGTAGGATTTTTTATGAATTTATTTGCAAATTATTGTGGAAAAAAAGTTTTTGGTCACCTACAAACAAGCAAGATTTCTGGCTCTCACAGACCTGTAACTTCTTCTTTAAGAGGCTCCTCTGTCCTCCATTCGTTACCTGTATTAAATGGCACCTGTTTGAACTTGTTATCAGTATAAAAGACACCTGTCCACAACCTCAAACAGTCACACTCCAAACTCCACTATGGCCAAGACCAAAGAGCTGTCAAAGGACACCAGAGACAAAATTGTAGACCTGCACCAGGCTGGAAAGACTGAATATGCAATAGGTAAGCAGCTTGGTTTGAAGAAATCAACTGTGGGAGCAATTATTAGGAAATGGAAGACATACAAGACCACTGATAATCTCCCTCGATCTGGGGCTACACGCAAGATCTCACCCCGTGGGGTCAAAATGATCACAAGAACGGTGAGCAAAAATCCCAGAACCACACGGGGGGACCTAGTGAATGACCTGCAGAGAGCTGGGACCAAAGTAACAAAGCCTACCATCAGTAACACACTATGCCGCCAGGGACTCAAATCCTGCAGTGCCAGACGTGTCCCCCTGCTTAAGCCAGTACATGTCCAGGCCCGTCTGAAGTTTGCTAGAGTGCATTTGGATGATCCAGAAGAGGATTGGGAGAATGTCATATGGTCAGATGAAACCAAAATAGAACTTTTTGGTAAAAACTCAACTCGTCGTGTTTGGAGGACAAAGAATGCTGAGTTGCATCCAAAGAACACCATACCTACTGTGAAGCATGGGGGTGGAAACATCATGCTTTGGGGCTGTTTTTCTGCAAAGGGACCAGGACGACTGAGCCGTGTAAAGTAAAGAATGAATGGGGCCATTTATCTAATGTTCCTTCGTTAGATTTTAGCACATCTTGCTCTGGCTAACAGTGGATGTTGATCTTGTTGTTGTTGTTGTTGTTGATGTGCATAACTGAGGGATAGCCTACCTTTTCATGGTTGTTTGATAAATAGGATTGTAAAGTTCCCAAACGTAAGAGGACTCCCGTGAAATTTGCAGAAATCCAGTCAGGTTTATTTTGTGGCTTTTGGCGAATGTGTTCTAATTATCTAAAGTGGCGCTGTTGCAACTGCCTGTAAACACACAGTCCAGTTCAAAGTGAATGATGGCAGGCCTGTGTGGCAAATGGCTTGTTTGCATAAAGACCTACTGTAGCTCTGATGGGCTATGGCACACCGGTCTGCATAGACTCCGGTCCTGGACGAGAGAGATGTTTTTATTTGGTTTTATTTACTGCAGTGTCTTATTAACTGTCCAAACGCACGGCTGCTTTCTCTATATTGCTATATAATTTTCACAAATGCCTTAGTATAAGTAATTCCCAAACATTCTAAGAATTTAAAATGACCATATCTAAGCGCTCGCTTGACAGAAAATGAAAAACAGATTTTAATTAGATTTCATGTTGCTAAAATGCTGTCAGTTACACTTTAAGGTCAACCCTGTTACATGACTTTCATTTTAATATGGTGAAACTATTCAATTTAAAGTATTTTTTCAAAAGAAACATTTAACATATAATATTCAAATCATAGTGTAAAAGCAGTTGAGCTGGTTCTACTCTTTATGGCAATTTTCTGGTAGAAAACTGAGTGTGTCAAGCATAACACGTCAATCCTGTTACCCATAGAAAGATATGATGGAAATGTTTTAACAATAAAAAAAATTATGGGAAGCTCAACCGTGTTAAGTTCAACCCTGATACTTTGTCACTTTATTGGCACTTACTATAGTACTTTTTATTTAAGTATGTAAAATGATATATATATAATTTTGTTTACCATGTTACACTACCCAAAATGTCCTCTATTCGTGGAATTACCCAACAATTACTAGGAGGACCCAGAGTTATTTGTAATCTTACCTCAGTGCCTGACCATCTTGTGTGTGTGTGGCGTGCGTGCGTGCGTCTCACCTCGTTGCCTGACCATCTCTTGTCTCCACTGTCCACGCTGTTAAAGCCAGAGTCCAGCGCTCCGTACGGCCGGCCAGGGTACAGCTCCTCCACACTAAGAGTACAGAAGATAAGACCAACTTTAAGACCACCTGGGTCAAAACACAATGTCAAATGCTTTCAAACACTTGAGCTGTGCTGATCTTTTTTTTTTTTTTACATCTGGGTGTGAGCAAGGATGTTGTTATGGTACGTCCCATTCTCAACTCAATGGATGAACTCCCTCTTTCAGCTGTGCTCCCCTCGTAAACTCTACCCACCTTTCCCTCTTTCTACCTTTTGTTTTGTTTTTACCACTCCCTCACTTCCTCTATATTTAAATGTATATCTCTCCTCCCCAAACGCTGGACAGTGTCAAGTAGAGTACCTTTGAACATTTACAGAGGGCTCTGAGAGAGCAAGAGAGATTGTAGAGCAGAAAATATACAGTGAGGGAAAAAAGTATTTGATACCCTGCTGATTTTGTACGTTTGCCCACTGACAAAGACATGATCAGTATATCCTTTTAATGGTAGGTTTATTTGAACAGTGAGACAGAATAACAACAAAAAAATTCAGAAAAACACATGTCAAAAATGTTATGAATTGATTTGCATTTTAATGAGGGAAATAAGTATTTGACCCCTCTGCAAAACATGACTTAGTACTTGGTGGCAAAACCCTTGTTGGCAATCACAGAGGTCAGACGTTTCTTGTAGTTGGCCACCAGGTTTGCACACATCTCAGGAGGGATTTTGTCCCACTCCTCTTTGCAGATCTTCTCCAAGTCATTAAGGTTTCGAGCCTGACGTTTGGCAACTCGAACCTTCAGCTCCCTCCACAGATTTTCTATGGGATTACGGTCTGGAGACTGGCTAGGCCACTCCAGGACCTTAAAGTGCTTCTTCTTGAGCCACTCCTTTGTTGCCTTGGCCGTGTGTTTTGGGTCATTGTCATGCTGGAATACCCATCCACGACCCATTTTCAATGCCCTGGCTGAGGGAAGGAGGTTCTCACCCAAGATTTGACGGTACATGGCCCCTTCCATCGTCCCTTTGATGCGGTGAAGTTGTCCTGTCCCCTTAGCAGAAAAACACCCCCAAAGCATAATGTTTCCACCTCCATGTTTGACTGTGGCGATGGTGTTCTTGGGGTCATAGGCAGCATTCCTCCTCCTCCAAACACGGCGAGTTGAGTTGATGCCAAAGGGCTCGATTTTGGTCTCATCTGACCACAACACTATCACCCAGTTCTCCTCTGAATCATTCAGATGTTCATTGGCAAACTTCAGACGAGCCTGTATATGTGCTTTCTTGAGCAGGGGGACCTTGCAGGCGCTGCAGGATTTCAGTCCTTCGTAGCGTAGTGTGTTACCAATTGTTTTCTTGGTGACTATGGTCCCAGCAGCCTTGAGATCATTGACAAGATCCTCCCGTGTAGTTCTGGGCTGATTCCTCACCATTCTCATGATCATTGCAACTCCACGAGGTGAGATCTTGCATGGAGCCCCAGGCCGAGGGAGATTGACAGTTCTTTTGTGTTTCTTCCATTTGCGAATAATCGCACCAACTGTTGTCACCTTCTCACCAAGCTGCTTGGCGATGGTCTTGTAGCCCATTCCAGCCTTGTGTAGGTCTACAATCTTGTCCCTGACATCCTTGGAGAGCTCTTTGGTCTTGGCCATGGTGGAGAGTTTGGAATCTGATTGATTGATTGCTTCTGTGGACAGGTGTCTTTTATACAGGTAACAAGCTGAGATTAGGAGCACTCCCTTTAAGAGTGTGCTCCTAATCTCAGCTCGCTACCTGTGTAAAAGACACCTGGGAGCCAGAAATCTTTCTGATTGAGAGGGGGTCAAATACTTATTTCCCTCATTAAAATGCAAATCAATTTATAAACGTTTTGACATGTGTTTTTCTGGATTTTGTTGTTATTCTGTCTCTCACTGTTCAAATAAACCTACCATTAAAATTATAGACTGATCATATCTTTGTCAGTGGGCAAACGTTCAAAATCAGCAGGGGATCAAATACTTTTTTCCCCTCACTGTAAATATTGAGAGAGGGATAGATAAAAGTAGAGATACTGCCAGAGAAAGACAGGAGCTGTTCCTCTGCACACAGCTGTTTCCAGGGCTGGCCTCTCTGCAGTTTTATTGGCAGTGGAAGTGTGTGTTTCTCACCAGGATCCGAAGGCGAGGGGTCTCCTGTCGTAGTCTGGGAGCTCAGGTGTAGTCTTGCTGGCCTCATTGTTCAGATACTTAAATATATGGATCATCCCCTTTATACAAATCTGGGAATGACAGGGAAAGAAACACATGATAGACAATAGAAGGAACAGTTTGACTAGGTTCTATTAACACATTTGTGTGGTGCAGGTCATAATTATATAATCAGGCTGAGAGTTTGTGTGTTTACTAGTCACTGACTAGGAGCAAAAAGGTGTATTTGTATAGTCGTGATTGTATAGTTCGACTGTGAATGCGTGTGCGTTACCTGTGCGGGTGGGTTCTGTAGTGGGTTGTTGTCCAGCACGATGTTCTGTAGGTGGCGCAGGTTACGGTAACACACAGGGATGGACGTCACCTTGTTACAAGAGAAGTCCAGACGCACCAGGGGCAACTCCGACAGCTCTGTATGGATATAGGACACACACAGTTTAAATTTAACCCCCTAGAGTCGATGTCATCGCCCCTTGAAATTCTAATTAGCATAATAAAACATCTGTCAGTTTAAGCTTTTTAAACAATGATATGGACAACATTCCTAATATTGGGCTGCATCTAATTCCACCGCCAACTTCTGTCTGTAGCGTCCGAACAGTTTGGGCTACACTCTAATATGACCCCTCTATGGAAAGGTGTTTTGCTCTAGGACGACCACAAGGCTCACAAGACACGTCTGAAGGTAGCCCGGTACCAGTTTTAAAAAATGAATGGAAGTACACAGCGTTCCACAGGGATGCTGGCCCATGTTGACTTCAATGCTTCCCACAGTTGTGTCAAGTAGGCTGGATGTCCTTTGGGTGGTGGACCATTCTTGATACACACGGGAAACTGTTGAGCGTGAAAAACCCAGCAGCGTTGCAGTTCTTGACACAAACCAGTGCGCCTTGCACCTACTACCATACCCAGTTCAAAGGCACTTACATTTTGTGTCTTTCCCATTCACCCTCTGAAAGGCACACATACACAATCCATGTCTCAATTGTCTCAATGCTTAAAAATAATTCTTTATATGTCACCTCCCCTTCATCTACACTGATTGAAGTTGATTTAACAAGTGACATCAATGAGGAATCATAGCTTTCACCTGGTCAGTCTGTCATAAAAAGAGCAGGTGTTCTTAATGTTTTGTACACTCAGTGTATATGGATGTAGTTTAGTGCCAAAAAAAGGATTGTTAAGGATTAAACAGTGTGTGTGTTGTCCAGCTCTAACACGCCACATTTATCTAATCAAGTAATTGTGGTCTTCAGAATTACAATTCAAAATATTCTGATGTGTGTGGTCCAGGTTGTTTTGTGTGTGTGTGTGTGTGTGTGTGTGTGTGTGTGTGTGTGTGTGTGTGTGTGTGTGTGTTGACCAGTGCGGACATGACGTCAGGCCAGGTGGTTGAGTGTGTGTGTGTTGACCTGGGGGCAAGCGGGCCAGGTGATTGCGGCGGATGTTGAGGTCTCGCAGCGAGTCCAGCCGACCAACCTGAGGAGGGAGTGTCTGGATCTCATTACAACTCACGTCCTGGAGAGAGGGATGAGGGAGGAAGAGGAGAGGAAGAGGATGCCCTGGTTAAACGGTAATCAAACCACAACACAAAGACTACCAATAAGGGCAAAAAACAGGCAAATCAACACGGTGGTTTTGACACTAAAACAACACACGGCCAGTTAAGCATTAACTGTGTGTCTGTGTATGTCTGTGTGTGTGTACTGTCCTGTACTGACCAGTTCTGTGAGCTGTCGTAGTTGGCCCAGCTCCTCAGGAAGGGAGACCAGCTTGTTGTTACAGGCGATCAGGACCTTCAATGGCAGACTGCACACCGGGCTGGGCAGGGTCGACAACTGGTTCCGACTGGAATCCGAAAGAAAGAAGACAGACACAGACAGAGACAGACACAGACAGAGACAGACAGAGACAGACAAAGACAGGAGAGAGAAAATGTAAGAGATGTTTCTGGCTAAAGCCTTGGTAAATTCATGTCTCCATTCAAATTCAAATAGTTGTGATGGTGGATGTTTTTATGTGTGTACTGGCAAGATGGCGAATGTTATTGAATATTATCAAACAAAGGAAGTCACCATGTTGAACAATGTTCTCGACATTCTATTGCCACTGTCTGAGATACTTCCCAGAATACTTCCCAGAATACATCCCAGAATACTTCCCAGAATACTTCCCAGACAAAACAGGTTTCTGTTACAGACCAAACATCTCTCCTCTGAATCCTGTTTGTTTATCAGATATGCTGTGATATTTCTCTATGTCCAAAACAGATCATTCATAAATAAAGATTAAAGCGATGAACATGGGTGTCGTCCCAAATGGCACACTATTCCCTATTTAGTGCACTACTCTTGACCAGGGCCCATAGGGCTCAATGGTAGTTCATTATATAGGGAATAGCGTACCATCTGTTTTAGGCATCACACATCTTTACATGGGTGTGTGTAGTTTGCATGCATAGGCCGTCTTTCTATGGTTAAGAGTACAAGTGTGCAGTCAAATTTGTAAATAGATGTGTACATCTGTATTTACTCTACTGTGTGTGTATTACCATATGTTGAAGTATGTGAGGGCCTGTGAGCGTGTGTGTGTCAGTGGTTGAAAAAGTACACAACTGTCATACTTGAGTAATAGAAAATCGTAATAGAAAATGACTCAAGTAAAAGTCACCCAGTAATGCCCTACTTGAGTATATCATTAGCATATAATATTAGCACAATTAATAGGCCTACACTACACATTGAAAATGTTTAACACATCTGATTAGTACATAATAAAATCAATGACAATAACATCATTTCGATCTGATTACACTCATAAAATCACCAATGTCTCTATTCAATTATTATTTTTGTCTATTTCGCTGCGCGTTTATTGTTGGGGAAAAACTGGTCTACTGTAGCCTACACTACTTTTTTTAACGTCAACATTCGTTCAGAACAATTAGCTTGCTAGCAAGAGAAAGTGTCACTCAAAAAGCATCAAAAGGCAGATAATAAAAATAGAAGTTTCAGAGAAGAATGGACAGAGAGAAATGCATTCATCTTACCATCTTTCTCCAATGCCAAGCCAGTGGGTCTTACTTGCCACGAAAATGTCACTGTTTGCAAAGAATTCAATCTCAGACGTTATTATGACTCTAAGCATGGAACATTTAAAGTGACATTCCCGCCCCAGACAGAGGCCCGACGCAGAAACATTTAAGGGTTAACTGCAAGCTACACACATAGCAGCAGAATCCTCTTTCCTGGCCTGACCCACCAACAGAAGGTCACAAGTGCCTCCCTAAAAGCGTCCTGGGTTCTAACCAAACACAACATGCCCTTCACAGACGCGGAGGTATTTAAAAAGTGCATAGTGACAGTTTTGGAGGAATGGACAGAGTCTATGGACAGCATAATTGCGTCTGTCCAACAGGTGCCCCTGTCTGTGTCCACAGCCAGCCGCCGCGTCCATGCACTGCCGGATGATGTACATAGGATTGTTCGGGAGGGGCTCAATCAGGCTGAGCATTTTTCCCTGGCTACTGATGAGAGTACTCACAACACCGATGTAGCACAGTTTTGTGTATGTCTGTTATTGTTGATGGAATTGAATTTAAAGAAGAGCTACTGGCACTGATTCCCCTCAAAGGACACACCACCGGGGACATCATATTCACAAAGCTGGAAGAATTGTTGACGCAGCATAGCCTGTCATTAAAAAAAAGTATACTTTGTTGTCACCGACGGGGCTCCTGCTATGGTGGGCAGACACAGGTGCCTGGTTAGCAGACTGAAGCAAATCGCCCCCCAAATGAATGGCTTGCATTGTCTCATACATCAGAGTGTGCTGTGTGACAGACTAAACTGTGAGCAAAAATATGTGATAGATAAAGTAATGCACATAATCAACTTTGTCAGGGGGCATCAAGCACCCAACATTCCCCCCTCTTTTACGTTGCTGCTACTCTTGGTTTATCATCTATGCATAGTCACTTTAATCTCTACCTACATGTACATATTACCTCAATTACCTTGACTAACCGGTGCCCCCGCACATTGACTCGGTACCGGTACCCCCTGTATATAGCCTCCCTACTGTTATTTTACTCCTGCTCTTTAATTATTTGTTACTTTTATTTCTTATTATCTTTTTTTTATTTTCAGTATTCTTTCTTATAACTGCATTGTTGGTTAAGGGCTTGTAAGTAAGCCTTTCACTGTAAGGTCTACACCTGTTGTATTCGGCGCATGTGGCCAATACAATTGGATTTGATTTAGTCTTTTCCGCAAGCTTGTTACAGAATCAGAGGCCACCCACGATGATCTCCTGCTTCACAACGACATGCACTTGCTGAGTAAAGGAAAAGCGCTGGAGCGGTTCTGCAAGCTGCATGACCAGGTTGTGGATTTTCTCAGAAAAAGCTAAATGAGGGGAGCAGCTGACCACCTTCATATTCTGGAAATTGAGGAATTCCTCTCCAATGTTGCTTTTTTGGCAATTCAAACTGAGCTGATTTAATTCCAGACATTGAGACAAATCAGCGATGTGTTCCGGAGTGCCAAGTCCGTGTATGCGTCTTGGGTGGCATGCTCAGATGAATACAGCACAATAAAGAAACTAGCATTTTATGTCATTCTGAAATTAGCCCACCCAACTACCTCATTCCCATATTGTTATTTATTTTGCTCATTTGCACCCCAGTATCTCTATTTGCACATCATCTTTTGCACATCTAGCATTCCAGTGTTAATACGAAATTGTAACTATTTTGCACTATGGCCTATTTATTGCCTTACCTCCATAACTTACTACATTCGCACACACTGTATATATATATTTTCTGTTATATTTTTGACTTTATGTTTTGTTTACCCCATATGTAACTCTGTGTTGTTTTTATCGCACTGCTTTGCTTTATCTTGGCCAGGTTGCAGTTGTAAATTATAACTTGTTCTCAACTGGCTTACCTGGTTAAATAAAGCTGAAATAAATAAATAAAAATGTGCTAACAATTATGTTTGGATCCACTTACACCTGCAAGTCCTCCTTTTCCTCTATGAACGCAATCAAGACTCACGACAGGAACCGGCTTTCACGTAAGTCAATCGAGGACTGCCTGCGCTTCAAAATCACATTAATCTCACCCGACATCCACAAGGTCGTGTCCGAGGGGAAATGCAACTTTTCCCATTAAGTCAGTAACTTAGTAGCCTATATGACTGTATTTAGTAAATACTAACATTATTGTGACTGCTTATCCAGGGCTATTTAGGTCTCAAGCTGACAGTCTTTTCTGTATGTTCTGTCATTACAGGAGCAGGTTATCCCAAGACTCCCAACACAGACATTCAGACATTGTTTTATGTAGGATGCTACATTTTTGGCCAGTTGCAATTGTAAGTAGGCCTAATTAAAAGAATCCCACTTCTATTTTTTTTTTTCTTGTGCAAGATGCTGTTAAGCCTCATAACTGGCTGAGGTAGGCCTAGTTATTTTCTATAGGCCAAGAATCGAAAGAAATAGACTCCAATTAAGCCCTTGTTGTTTGTAAATTCAAATTAAGATTATTTTTTTAATGAATTACCCAACTGGTGTAGTTTTTCTTTTTCGGTTGCTGTGCACCATTTGCATATTATTGTCTTCTTCTTCAATTAATTTGGGGGGCCAATAAATATTGCTGGCGGGACAGATTTGGCCCGCTGGCCACCAGTTGGGAAACCCTGCTCTACACTATACTAGCTTATTTTGTCACATAAACTGACATTTCTGCATAGTGCAACTTGAAGAACTTTCCACCACTGGTGTGTGTACGTCCGTTACCTTATGTTCAGGTAGGTGAGGGCCTGGAGATTGAGCAGACTCTCAGGCAGCGAGCGCAGGCAGTTCTGGTAGAGGTTCAGGTGTTCCAAAGAGACAAACATGCACACCTCCACGGGCAGCTCTGGCAGACGGTTACGGGACAGGTCTAAACAAGGGGACAGAGACGTAGATGTCATGACACTTTATTTCATTCATTTATTCAACCCTTTATTGGAACGGGTGAGTTGGCTGGTTTTGTTTTGTGTTCACACCTTTAGGTGTCCTAGTGTTGGGGCAGTTTGACACACTTAAGTTTTCTATTGCGACCCTTATTTTACCAAGTTGGTTGAGAACACATTGTAATTTACAGCCATCTTGGGGGTGGTCACTGGCCAGGATGGGTTAGGGTTAGGGTTATTACAGTGGCTACATTTACCATGTGTACTGTAGGCCTAAATTGTCAATGTCCCTAAAGAATCAAAACAGATTTATTTTAGTTTTGTTCCTTCAAAAGTGTAAATCAGAATTGTTTCTAGATATTACAAATGGGCACGAGTACTCGACTCAAGGTTTGAATTTATTCACCAATAATCTAATAGAAGTATTCTAAATGTACCAGTCCACCCATTTAGCAGGTTACATTTATAAACACTTAAAATATCAAACTAAGATGTGCTTATTGCCTGTGGAGTGAAATGTAGTAAAATTATGTTTAAAAAACATTTCAGTTGTATCAGAACAACCAGTAAAAGGAACGATACTGTAAATACCGCACATTTTTTTAACCTTCAGCCCTGTTTCACGCTAACATGAGAGTACTCAAAATTATTTTAATGAGAGTCCTCTGACAAACATTCTTTCAAATCCCCATTCCTACTCAATATCTGACAAAAAAACTTCCCTGAACTGTAGCTGGAAAGATACATTTCCCCAGTGAATACCCTGGGAAAGTAGTCAACCCCTATCCCCGCCCACAATCCACATACAGTGCATTCTGAAAGTATTCAGACCCCTTGACCTTTTCCACATTTTGTTACATTACAGCCTTATTCTGAAATTGATTAAATTGTTGTTTTTCCCCCTGATCAATTTACACACAATACCCCATAATGACAAAGCAAAAACACGTTTTTAGAAATGTTTGCTAATTTATATATATATATATATATATATATATAAATTAGCAAACATTTCTAAAAACGTGTTAAAATGAAATATCACATTTAAATACGTTTTCAGACCCTTTACTCAGTACTTTGTTGAAGCAACTTAGGCAGCTATTACAGCCTTGAGTCTTCTTGGGTATGACGCTACAAGCTTAGCACACCTGTATTTACAATCCAAGATGGCGTAGTAGTGCGGTCGTGTATTGTGTTATATCCTTGTGTAAATGGCCTGGTTTTTTTTACTTTTATTGTGTGTGTGTGTGTGTGTGTGTGTGTGTGTGTGTGTGTGTGTGTGTGTATATATATATATATTTCTCTCTCACACTTTCCATCCTTTAACTAAATATACTTTCCTGCAACCCGCCTCACCCAATGTGGAACAGATTATATTATTTCTTGATTTTTATCAAAAACCTACGGCTGAAACTAGCCAGCTAGCTAGCTAACTAGCTACTTGCTTTTGGCCACCGTTAGCGGTCTTCACCACTGTCTGTGGCCTGCACTACCTTCCAGCCAGCTCTAGCCTGGACAATTATCGGCCAGTCTGCACAGCGTGCTATCGACCCAGAGCATATCGGATTTTCTGCCGGAATCACTGAATCACTGGACCTTAACACCGGACCATCGCAACTAGCTAGTTGCAACCGAATGGCTGTTGTTGGCTAATATCCACTTCCCGACGTACGAGTTAGCCTTGAGCTAGCCTCGAGCCAGGCCCATCTCCCGGCTATCTACGTCTCTGTCAACCGGACAGGACCTCCTAGTGTCGACACGGAGCTCCGCCGATCCATCACGACTGGTCTGCCGACGTAATCGTCTGATGTGGTTTCAACTCCGGACTACTTAGGCTTTCACTGGACTTATGATCACTCAGCTACACAGCTAATGCCTGCGGACTCTTAACACGGTATCCCATCCTGTTTATCTGTTTAGCCTCAGCCCAAACTGTTCGTCGCCATTAACCAGTTGTTGGTCTTAGCCTCTCGAATAACCCTGTGATTGCATTATGCCCTCTCCCATGTCATATGCTAGCCTATGCTGTTGTATAGTTCTTATTATACATTCACTGTAGAGCCCCAAGTTCAGCTCACCAGCCTCGAGAGCTCTTTGTCCCACCCACCATACGTGGAGACCGGCTCAAATCGGTACCTCCAGTGATGCTCTCTCTTTCATAGTTACCCAATGCTTACGTGCACCTCCACTGTACACATATCCTTCCATATCCTTGTCTGTACATAATGCCCTGAATCTATTCTACAACACCCGGAAATATGCCCCTTTTCTCTGTACCCAACGCTTTAGAAGACCAGTTCTTAAAGCCTTTAGCCGTATCCTTATTCTATTCCTCCTCTGTTCCTCTGGTGATGTAGAGGTTAACCCAGGCCCTGTAGCCCCCAGTATCACTCCTAACCCCCAGGCACTATCATTTGTTGACTTCTGTAACCGTAATAGCCTTGGTTTCTTGCATGTTAACATCAGAAGTCTCCTACCCAAGTTTGAGTTATTTTTGTAAAGTTTTTTTGTCGTTTAGCAGACGCTCTTATCCAGAGCGACTTACAGGAGCAATTAGGGTTAAGTGCCTTGCTCAAGGGCATATCTACAGATTTTTCACCTAGTCGGCTCGGGGATTTGAACCAGCGACCTTTCGGTTACTGGCACAACGCTGTTAACCACTAAGCTAACTGCCGCCCTCACTATTATTCACTGCGTTAGCACACTCTGCCAACCCTGATGTTCTAGAAGTGTCTGAATCTTCGCTTAGGAAGGCCACCAAAAATTCAGACATTTCCATTCTGAACTACAACATTTTCCGTCTAGATAGAACTGCCAAAGGGGGCGGAGTTGCAATCTACTGTAGAGATAGCCTGCAGAGCTCTATCATACTATCCAGGTCTGTGCCCAAACAGTTTGAGCTTCTACTTCTAAAAATCCACCTCTCCAGAAATAAGTCTCTCGCAGTTACCCCCCTCAGCCCCCAGTTGTGCCCTGGACACCATATGTGAATTGTTTGCCCCCCATCTATCCTCGGAGTTCGTACTGCTCGGTGACCTAAACTGGGATATGTTTAACACCCTGGCCGTCCTACAATCTAAACTAGATGCCCTCAATCTCACACAAATTATCAAGGAACCTACTAGGAGCAACCCTAAATCCGTAAACACGGGCAACCTCATAGATATCATCCTAACTAATTTACCCTCTATATACACCTCCGCTGTCTTCAACCAGGATCTCAGCGACCACTGCCTCATTGCCTGCGTCCGTAACGGGTCCGCTGTCAAACGACCACCCCTCATCACTGTCAAACGCTCCCTAAAACACGTCAGCGAGCAGGCCTTTCTAATTGACCTGGCCCGGGTATCCTGGATGGATAGACCTCATTCCGTCAGTAGAGGATGCCTGGATGTTCTTCAAAAGTTATTTCCTCTCAATCTTAAATAAGCATGCCCCATTCACAAAATGCAGAACTAAGAACAGATATAGCCCCTGGTTCACCCCAGACTTGACTGCCCTTGACCAGAACAAAAACATCCTGTGGCGTACTGCATTAGCATCGACCAGCCCCCGCGATATGCAACTTTTCAGGGAAGTCAGGAACCAATATACACAATCAGTTAGGAAAGCAAAGGCTAGCTTTTTCAAACAGAAATTTGCATTCTGTAGCACTAACTCCAAAATGTTTTGGGACACTAAAGTCCATGGAGAATAAGAGCACCTCCTCCCAGCTACCGACTGCACTGAGGCTAGGAAACACTGTCACCACCGATAAATCTACGATAATCGAGAATTTCAACACGCATTTTGCTACGGCTGACCACGCTTTCCACCTGGCTACCCCTACCCCGGCCACCAGCTCTGCACCCTCTGCTGCAACTTGCCCATGCCCTGCCGCTTCACCCAGATAGCTGATGTCCTGAAAGAGCTGCAATATCTGGACCCCTACAAATCAGCTGGCCTAGACAATCTGGACCCTTTCTTTCTAAAATTAGCCGCCGAAATTGTCGCAACCCCTATTACTAGCCTGTTCAACCTCTCTTTTGAAACGTCTGAGATCCACAGAGATTGGAAAGCTGCCGCGGTCATCCCCCTCTTCAAAGGGGGTGACACTCAAAATCCAAACTGTTACAGACCTATATCCATCCTGTCCTGCCTTTCGAAAGTATTTGAAAGCCTAGTTAACAAACAGATCACCGACCATTTCGAATCCCACCGTACCTTCTCCGCTATGCAATCTGGTTTCTGAGCTGGTCATGGGTGCACCTCAGCCACACTCAAGGTCCTAAACGATATTATAACCGCGAACGATAAAAACAGTACTGTGCAGCCGTCTTCATCGACCTGGACAAGGCTTTTGACTCTGTCAATCACCGCATTCTTATTGGCAGACTAAATAGCCTTGGATCACCAACTACTTCTCAGAGTTCAATGTGTCAAATCGGAGGGCCTGTTGTCGGGACCTCTGGCAGTCTCTATGGGGGTGCCACAGGGTTCAATTCTCGGCCCTACTCTATTCTCTGTGTATATCAATGATGTCGCTCTTGCTGCTGGTGACTCTCAGATCCACCTCTACGCAGATGACACCATTTTGTATACATCTGACCATTCATTGGACACTGTGTTAACAAACCTCCAAACAAACTTCAATGCCATACAACACTCCTTCCGTGGCCTCCAACTGCTCTTAAACGCTAGTAAAACTAAATGCATGCTCTTCAATCGAATGCTGCTTGCACCAGCCTGCCCGACTAGAATCACTACTCTCGGCGGGTCTGACCTAGAGTATGTGGACAACTACAAATACCTAGGTGTCTTGTTAGACCGTAAACTCTCCTTCCAGACTCACATTAAGCATCTCCAATCCTAAGTGAAATCTAGAATCGGTTTCCTATTTCGCAACAAAGCCTCCTTCACTCATGCTGCTAAACATGCCCTCGTAAAACTGACTATTCTACCGATCCTTAACTTCGGCAATGTAATTTACAAAATAGCTTCCAACACTCTACTCAGCAAACTGGATGTAGTCTATTACA